GGAGCAATATGTAATGTCAAGTCATCATTAAATGACCCGAATATTTCAAAAGGCGTTATTAAATCATACTCTTTTCGAATAGTTCAGCCGAGATATTTGATTATCAAAATTAGTTTTACGACCCGTAAAAGTTGTTATTGTTTTGATTTTGATGTCCTACCCTCCGCCGTTTCGCCAATCAGGAAGTGTCATGTAAGTCCGTGATCGGGTTGTCAGAACTCCGTGCGGCTCACTAGTCTCAGAGGTAAAATAACATGTGGCGCAGAACTAAAAAAGGTCTTGTTATGACTCTCAAATCATTAATGACAAAACAAAGACTAAAACGAGGATTTATATCGGGATGCCTTTGAACAATTGAGACAGCTGATAAAAGTTCACGTGTGATGCAGAATTTTCTAGTTTAACGGCGTTCTTCACAGTATCTCTTTTAGTGTGAACCGGTGGCCTAGTGGTCTAAGCTGTGCGCTTACGAAGTAGGAATCCGGGTTCGATCCCGGGCTATGTCTTTTTGTATGTATTGCATGTTATCACATTCTATGACAGATTGCTCTAAAAACGGTAAAAGATGAAGGTCAAGACGTTTTTTTGCAGATTATAGCTTAATTGTAAAAATAATCATTTAAGACCACATGTACCCCAATTAAAATAATGTTAGTCTCTTTTTGATGTGGGACTTTTACATGTTTGTCTAAAAAATAGGGAATAAATAAAATTGAAAGGTGATATCCTCTTGAGCAAACCCTGATGTTGATACGCTGAAGAAATACGTTCCAACATCCATTCTTCCCACTCCTATTTTGGACATCAATTTCTTATTTATTTTGCATAAACTATGTATAATTACAATGCTATTATTTTGTTTTTGTTTTTTTTATCTCAAATGTCCAAATAATAATAATAAAAAAACATTAATCAAAACATTCATTCAGCATTAGCACGGCTGTCATGGCAATGTGAATGGAGACGGACAAACAACTGATAAAATAATTCCCTGTGTTTGCTGCTGGATTTGGTGTGAATCTGGCAACCTGAGTCAGGGAGAGTGGGAGAGGACTACAAAATATTGACTGTGACTGCAGTACCACTTTTGGCCAGATTTTTACATATTGCTCCTTTAAAACATGCATAACTAAATAGAATATTTTTCAGACTAAGAATAATAATGTACAATGGCTGAAGCTTTTGTGGGTGCTTACATACAAAAAAACAAAAAGGACCAAAACATAATAAATTAAAAAGACGTTTTAGGTCATTAGGCCCATTGTAAGAGATCGGCCTGGGCAATAAATCGAATTTAGGCAATTAATCGGCTTTTGAAAAAATCTAATTTGTGAAAAATGTGAAGATCGTGAAATTGAATGAAGGATATTGTGAGAGTTCCAGCAGCACATGAATTATACTTGCAATATCAGCACAGTCTGTAGAAGACTTTTTTTAAACGTACAGTGCCTTGCGAAAGTATTCGGCCCCCTTGAACCCTTCAACATTTCGCCACATTTCAGGCTTCAAACATAAAGATATAACATTTTAATTTTTTGTCATGAATCAACAACAAGTGGGACACAATCGTGAAGTGGAACAAAATTTATTGGATAATTTAAACTTTTTTAACAAATAAAAAACTGAAAAGTGGGGCGTGCAATATTATTCGGCCCCTTTACTTTCAGTGCAGCAAACTCACTCCAGTAGTTCAGTGAGGATCTTTGAATGATCCAATGTTGTCCTAAATGACTGATGATGATAAATAGAATGCACCTGTGTGTAATCAAGTCTCCGTATAAATTCACCTGCTCTTTGATAGTCTCAGGGTTCTGTTTAAAGCGCAGAGAGAGTTTAAAGCCGGATTTGGATACAAAAAGATTTCCCAAGCTTTAAACATCTCAAGGAGAACTGTGCAAGCAATTATATTGAAATGGAAGGAGTATCAGACCACTGCAAATCTAACAAGACCCGGCCGTCCCTCCAAACTTTCATCTCAAACAAGGAGAAGACTGATCAGAGATGCAGCCAAGAGGCCCATGATCACTCTGGATGAACTGCAGATAACTACAGCTGAGGTGGGAGAGTCTGTCCATAGGACAACAATCAGTCAGCACAAATCTGGCCTTTATGGAAGAGTGGCAAGAAGAAAGCCATTTCTCAAAGATATCCATAAAAAGTCTGTTTAAAGTTTGCCACAAGCCACCTGGGAGACACACCAAACATGTGGAAGAAGGTGCTCTGGTCAATTGAAACCAAAATCGAACTTTTTGGCCACAATGCAAAACGATATGTTTGGCGTAAAAGCAACACAGCTCATCACCCTGAACACACCATCCCCACTGTCAAACATGGTGGTGGCAGCATCATGGTTTGGGCCTGCTTTTCTTCAGCAGGGACAGGGAAGATGGATGGAGCCAAATACAGGACCATTCTGGAAGAAAACCTGTTGGAGTCTGCAAAAGACCTGAGACTGGGACGGATATTTATCTTCCAACAGGACAATGATCCAAAACATAAAGCCAAATCTACAATGGAATGGCTCACAAATAGACGTATCCAGGTGTTAGAATGGCCAAGTCAAAGTCCAGACCTGAATCCAATCGAGAATCTGTGGAAAGAGCTGAAGACTGCTGTTCACAAACGCTCTACATCCAACCTCACTGAGCTCGAGCTGTTTTGCAAGGAAGAATTGGAAAGAATTCCAGTCTCTCAATGTGCAAAACTGATAGAGACATACCCCAAACGACTTGCAGCTGTAATTGCAGCAAAAGGTGGCGCTATAAAGTATTAGTGCAAGGGGGTCAAATAATATTGCACGCCCCACTTTTCAGTTTTTTATTTGTTAAAAAAATTTAAATTATCCAATAAATTTCGTTCCACTTCACGATTGTGTCCCACTTGTTGTTGATTCTTGACAAAAAAAAACATTTTTATATATTTATGTTTGGAGCCTGAAATGTGGCGAAATGTTGAAAGGTTCAAGGGGGCCGAATACTTTCGCAAGGCACTGTATTGGGGGTAACAAATTAAAAATAGTTTTGAAACTTGATTATTGAGCGGAAAGATCAAAACATATTTTTAAGGGCAGACTTTAATGAAAATCAATCAAAATCTAACCTTGCCTGCAAGCTGAATTCTCGCGGTATTTGTGAGTATCGCGGAGAACGCGTTAGAGTTCTATACAATCATCAATCTGGCTTTTGCCAGGTTAATCAAAATCATCCAAAGCAGAAAATAAAATCGAGATTTAACTTTTTTGCCATATCGTCCAGCCCTAGTAAGAGATAGAAATAAGTACAACTCTTAGTACTGCAAGTATTATAAAAGGTAGAAGTACCACGAGTATGTGATGAGTCACACCATTATGACGATCAGACAAGAGAATTTTGTGTGTTCTGCTGCTTCTCAGATTCTCACATTCTTGGCCAAAACATGAACCAAATTAACTGCAGGTGCTAAGAAAAAATATGTAGTCGTGGGGATCTGTGAAAACAGTAGATCTGATGTTTAAAAGTGTCCACACGGGTGTCGGAGCAGGCAGAGACGCAAAAACCAAAAAAGAGCACACAAAAGAACAACCAATATTTGTAGCGCCATCTTATAATCACACCCTTATTACACTATAACACCCTTACATCAGCATTACACCCTTATTACACCCCTTCTCTGGGGGCCAAAATAGCCAGTTGAAGACGTGCCATCCGAGGAGCCATCTGCCCCGGAAGTAGAGAGAACCATCTGCAGCCACAGGGGATAAAATAGGATCCAGAAGAGAGATGAAGCTTTGATGGTACCTTTGCTTATCATTATCACCAATTTGTCCAAAAGATGAAAAATGCAGATGTGTATAAGCTCCTGGCCAATACCTGGGTGTAGCACAAAGCCTCACTACAATATTCCCACACATAAAAACACAATCCCATCTGGGGCGAGGTCTTAAAGGTCCTAGTAATTTCCTTTGCCATTACATCATAATTCCGCAGATAAAGCAGTCCATCTCTGGCTCAAAACCTGCAGCGGATTAGAGCCGGGCGCAGGAGTGGGGCCAGAACACACGCTACGTATCTACCGTACCCAAACAAGAGGCACGCCACGCCAACTCCAGGAACGCCATGGATGAACTGCACATAACCACATGTGAAAATAGATTAAAGACTGCAGGACAAATGGTGGATTGGTTAAGGCGATGTAGCTCCCGTTTTTATACGCACCCCATTTCTGGTCGTGAAGAAATCAGTCACAATGTATTTCCCATTTGGAGTTTGTGTACAGCCCTTACGAGTGTGCTAGAAAACGATTCTTATGTTTGCAGATTTGAGACAATATAAATATATAATAGTTTATTTAGTTTGTTTAGTAATATAATTTATTTTATTTCACTTGTCTCCTGATTTTTTTTTCCAGTTGCAAAAATGTATAATGTAACAATCTAGCTGGTTGTATGAATGCAGGATGCTGTCTATGCTTGTGACTGAAGACTGAAGTAATAAGCTGGCTGGGGATGGAGATTTTTATTGCTCCGTTTTCATTAACAACAATTACATTCTGAGCTGGCGAATGGGATTATTGCATTGATTGAGTGGCATGGTGGCTGATGGGTTAGCACTCTCACTTGGGCATTTAAACAATTGATTACTCCACTAAATCAGTCAATTTTTTTCACTTTTTTCATCACTTCTCAGCAAGAAGGTCCTGAGTTCAAATCCAAGTTTTAAAACACAAAATATGATTTCTTACTATTAATCTTTATTTTAGACTCAAATTAAATGGGTCCATATTAAAAAAAAAAGGAATATAAAAACAATACCATGTTATATACCGTCCGTTCAAGCAGATCTATAGAGTGTATCTGTCCAGTGCTTTCTCAGAGCAGAGGTGTAGCGACATGAGCTCATTTTACAGTTAGTCAGAGTCTGAATGATGGTGTTCTCAGACGCTTCTTGAACCGAAAGGTTAGATGTCGCCTGAAGGGTGTGAATGTGAGCGCCCACAAACAGTTGTCTGGCACTGGTCAATCTATGGAGTTACCAAGCCACTGTGAGACTGTAGAAGGACCCGGCCACTGTGCGTCTATGGAGGGACCAAGCCACTGTGAGACTGTAGAAGGACCCGGCCACTGTGCGTCTATGGAGGGACCAAGCCACTGTGAGATTGTGGAGGGACCAAGCCAATGTGAGATTGTGGAAGGACCACGCCACTGTGAGTCTGTGAAGGAACCAGGCCACTGTGAGTCTGTGAAGGAACCAGGCCACTGTGAGTCTGTGAAGGAACCAGGCCACTGTGAGTCTGTGAAGGAACCAGGCCACTGTGGGTCTGTGAAGGAACCAGGCCACTGTGGGTCTGTGGAGAAGAATTGAGGACAGACCTGGTTTTACTCTTATTTTTAATCCCCTTTTCAGACATGGTAACATTGTACAATGTTAAAACCAGCCATATTTGTTACTCCATTAAAACCAGCCATGTTTGTTTCGTAATACAGCTAGGGTTGCCAACTGTCCCTTAAAATACTACAAATCTAGGAATAATATGTCATATTCCCAGATTCGGACGTCCGTGGTCAATAGCTCACGAAAGCTACGTTGTTAAACTAAAGTAATTATGCCAAAATTATCACCTCTACATGGATTTTTCAAATCCTATGCGGTATTTTAATGCAGAGAAATCCAATGAATCCATTGCCCTGCTCCACTCAGCGGCTAGTCCATCTCTGTTGCTGTGACCTGAAGGGCTGTTGATGATTTATACTATTGGTAGCTTTTTAAATTGATAATTTTTAATTTTTGCTGCTACTGGACACCTGAATTTTTCCCAACGAGGTCAATAAAGTATCTATCTATCTAGAGGGGTTTATATTTTAAATTGATTAATGTTTTTCTTTTTTTAAATTGCTTTTACAGTAAATGGTCTTTACAGTAACATACATGGAGCCCTCTGCACTGGGAGCAGTGGTCAGCTGTGACTGTGGGACCTGGCTCTTGGACCTGGTGGGGGCCTGGAGCCTCGGCTTCATGTCTCCTCTGGGTCCTGTGTCGTCCCCTGTGGCTGCTTGCGCCTCTCTGCTCCTGGTGCAGATGGCTCCTTGGATGACGCTTCTTTAGCTGGTTGCATCTGAACCCTGCTAAGTCTCTCTCTTCATGGTTTTACTGTTTTACTGGTGTGTGTGTGTGTGTGAGCGGGTCTGTGCATTTGTGTGTGTGTTCGTCTGCGCGTGCGTGCAGTCTTAATAATATATGTGGTGGGTCTGTTGGGTGATTGTGAGGGGGGGTCACGGGCGGGATTGTTTTTAACCAAACTGTAAAGCGCTTTCTGTTACATCTTTTGTATGAAAAGTGCTTTATGAATAAAATGTTATTGATTGATTTATACATAAATAACGGGGCGACAGTAGCTCAGTTGGTTGAGCATTGGCCTTTGAGCCTGAAGGTCGTGGGTTCAAGCCCACCGTAAGACCTACTTCACGACTCCCACTGATGACTGCTGCCGTTGTGTCCTTGGGCAAGACACTTAACCCCACTTTGCCTGAAGCTCCCACTGAAAGATCTCAGCTCCTGTGGACTCACCACCTGCAGGAGAATCAGTGAGGGGCTGGTGCTCTGTGACTGGGTGCAGCTCTGACTGCCACCCCCCCGACCCAGAAATGGATTAAGGGGAAGAAAATGGATGGATGGATGGATAAATAATGACCATATCTAACTACTACAACCTTCGTTTTCAGCATTTGTCTCTTTTTTATATATTTTATCATTAAATATGAATATTCTTCAATAGCTTTTTTTGTAAACACAATGTAGTCAATAAATTACAATATAATAACTGTGAATATGGAATTCCATGATTCCTGTTTAGACAGAAATTCGGACAACTTAAAAGTGCTCAATCGGATTGACCCAAATGGTTTCCCTTATTATTCTGTTGGCAACCCTGGTAACGTCCCTCTGTTTATCCTTTACAACCTAGAAGTCAAAATATATGATAGCATTTGACAATCTTTGTTCATACTCTTGAAATTCCAAACTAAAATGTCACACTTAGTTGACTGGATTACTATTGGAAACAGGGCACGGCCCTATGTCCTGACATGGTTCCTGGTCTCTGGTGCGGCAGGTGCATCACGAGCCGTCCTCACGTGTGCCCTCTCCAGCTGTTCCAGAGCCACCCATACATTAAGGTGACATTGGCATGTCTTTGAGCTCCCCCCAGGCCTCTGTGTTTTCTATATTGCTTTGATTTGATCGTCCTTCACTGACCGCCGCATCTGTCCTCTCCCCATTCCCCTCACACCCCCCACCGCAACATGTTGTCATATACTGTAGGTGAATGTCTGGTCGACTTTGACCCTGTTAAAATTGTGTTATTGTCTTCTATGTGCCCATGGTTCATCATCATTTATCACAATATTGATCTAAATGTTGTATTTTAAACACACTTCAAACAGAATTAGAAGTCTGAGAAATTAGCCCAAAAATGTTTAGTTTTTCACAATGGTTATATCTTTACTTACTAGTACTGAAAGGGAAATCTGGTTATAACTTAAATACAGCAACAACAGTTTGTTGTTGTTGTTGTACTGTGAGTCTATGGAGGGACCAGGCCAATGGCCACTGAAGACCGAATGCTAACTGCTGATGGAAAACTAAACTGAACCAGATCCGGTCCAGGGCCGGAAACAATCCACGACCAGAACCTGTCCAGGATCAGAACCAGTCCAGGACTGCTCTGGGGGTTCTAGTGTTAAGGGGCCTGCTTCTTTGCCAAACTTGAATGTAATGAATGTTGAATGTCAACTTTTATGTTTTCACTTGAATGTACTCACAGAAGCAAATGACCTAAAAGGTAGTTTTTACTCCCAAGCGTTGAGATCATATATTGCAGTCACTTGGTACTACGAGTGCTGTGAAGGACAATATTACGTCTTTGACAGTGGTCCCCAACTCCCAATCATTCCAACCGGGTCAAGTGTGACAGCCAGGGGGTTATATGTAACTTGATTATTTCTCATTAAATAATATGGAATACTCCTGACAGAACAAACCAGCAACGCCACTCCAGGAGTTACACCTGAAGAATTTTGAAAGCCCACAGGGTCAATTTTACTGAGAGGCAGAGACTGTTTAGTCAATCTAACAATGTTTTTTTTTACAAAGGGCTGCTCAAGAACAATCTTTATTTCATATATATCTTCTTTTTAAAAATGGCTACTATAAAATGTACAGCACACACATACACGCACGCCCACGCACACACTCAAAAGCACACACACAAAAGCACACACACACACGCAGGGAGAGTATAGGAGCTGGGTTTTTCACCGTGGACTGAGTGGGGCTGGGCTGGGGGTCACCAAATAAAAAGCACACACACACAGCAAATAATAAGAAAGTGCACTGCAAACCAAACGCGTGATCACCCCTGTGGCGCACACCTCCACCGAGCCAGACTGGATAACAGCTCCTACGACACAAAAACAATATTTACAATTCACATTAGCGTATAGTGTAAAACGTCAGACGTATAACAGTTAAAATTGTCCTTTAAGTCCTGTGAAAAGGGATTGAGCGTGAAGCGTCACTGAGCAGCGTCACTGAGCATTGAAGTACTCTTCCATAAGTCTGTGTTCCACAGTTGTCACTGACAGGCAACAAGGGGAAAAACACCCCGCGAGTTACGGCCACATGCGTGCCGTAGGGCACCAAGACGTGGCTGACGACAGCGAGGACACCGTTGACCCCAGACGGCTGTCCTCCGGCAGACGAAACATGCACAGAACGAGCAAACGAACGACCAAAATTAAACTTTCAGTAGCAAGCAATATAAGGGCAAAACAACAGCATCTGAAGGAAAGGGGGGGACTCATTATTACTGTGAAATTTGGTGCTCCTACACCGCAAACAGACATAGCTTACCACTTTGAGCTGAAGTGCAGCTCTTCCAAGAGGGAGAGGCGCGGCCAGAGAGCTACACCCGTTGCCTAGCAACGACAGAAGCTAAGTTAACATGCTAAGCGGACCACAGAGCTCAAAAGGGGAGAGTAGCCTTACCGATTATAGAGTAAGGGGAGACATGGGTCCGCGTGTACCTGCGCCACTGTCCGTGCTAGAACACAGTGCCCCATTAGCAACTAAAGGCTACATTTGTAATACCGGCCGTAAGGCAGAGGAACACAGAAATGACGTGCAGCGTTGCGAGCGGCTACGTGAGGTCAAAGGGGGAGGCAACAGAGACAAGACACTTTTATGGGTCGCCGGCCAGCGCTAGGGACCAATGAGAACTCCGGCCCTCGATAGATAGCCCGCCTCCTGGGCATACTGCCACACAAGGAAAGGATCCTTTACTTTGATAAAATACCTGATCTCTCAGTAAGTCTTTGACACGCTAAAATGTAACAAAAGTGCCTCCACCGCACGTGCGCAGAGGTTGAAATGTAAACCAAGTCCGCATTCTGATAGAGGCTCTGGGGTTTTACAAACAAGGTGTGAAGAGAAGACACGGAGGAATGGGACGTCTGTGGCAGTCTAAAACCATGATGATCAGAGGATCGTGCTTTTTATTCTGTCGGTGCACACAGAGTACCTTTTTTTGAAAATGTATTCCAATGTAGTTTTTATACTGCACATGGCTAATAAAATGAATCTGAATCTGGATGATCAGTTTGCTGTCATGACGCGGGTTTCTACAACAACAACAACAACTTATTCTTGTATAGCCCTAAATCACAAAAGCAGTCATCTCAGAGGACTTTACAAAACCATGGAAATCACCAACACTGATCATAGAATCAACATTTAGGACACAAAATATACACATATGAATTGGTCCATAGGGAGAGTCCAATGTCCATGAATGTTGATAAATGACCATACATATTGTAAAATGTTAAAGTGTCCTGGATCATCTCCACAGTCCTTCTTGTTGGACACTAACTGTCCAACAGACAGTGTTGGGCACGTTACTTTGAAAAAGTAATTAGTTATAGTTACTAGTTACTTCTCCCAAAAAGTAACTGAGTTACTAACGGAGTTACTCCACTATAAAAGTAACTAGTTACCAGTAAAAGTAACTATTGAGTTACTTTTTCGTTTTGTTCTGGAACATAATGTGCACTCGACGTGTGCATTTTTACCTTTAACCTCAATGAGTCTGAAATATTGCCAATATTTCCATCTAGAAAAGTCTGTTTTGCTGCTGAAGTCCTGTTCACTCTCCATCTCTCTCTCACCCGCCACTGTGAATGTGGAAACACCGGTGAAGCACTGACTTCAGCCCAATCAGATGAACATATATATCATACAACAGCTAAATCAAGTGGACAATTTGTTTGGCTACAGCAAAATATGTTTCATGGCCGCATTGTTTGTTCATACAAAACGCAAAACTATGAGTTATGGGTCTTACCTTATAAATGACCTGCACAGACCACTTCAGTTCAGACCAGTTCTGTGTTTAAGTCCAGATAATAGTTTGAGCGTAGATATGTAATCCTCCATTTGGAAATGAGTTTTAAAAAGTAAAACAAAACGCGTGTGTCCTCCGTAAACTACTCTGTTTTGCTAGGTGCAGCTGGGTGCATCCAATTTCTAAAATCAACCGTCTTACACTTCACCTCTCTTTCTTATCATTCCTATAGTAATTGAAAAATTACCGTTAGTGCATTTTAAATGTGTTATATGTATGTTAGCCAAACTTGTTGCAGCCCTTAGCAGATAAACCAGGAAGAGAAAGGAGCTTTCTGATGGAATTGTATGCAGCCGACTTCTGCGCTCACATGCGCTCCTCTGAGCCCTCACGGTGATACAAGCTGTGGTTGAGCGCGACTAAGACCCATATTTGTTTCAAAAACACAATTTATGACCATCCTCTCAACTGTAGACATGTGGATTGTAAAGGAAATATGTTTTACATCAGCCAATAATTGCTGAGAGGTTTTCTCATCCTCCCTTCTCTCATGACAACACGCGCACGAGTCCTATCACGAAGTAAAAAGAGAAGTTCATTGTGCGTCTTTAGTAACGCGCAGTAACGGGATGTCGGAAATGATAACGGCGTTATAGTTACAGTCAAAGTAATTAGTTAGATTACTCGTTACTGAAAAAAGTAACGGCGTTAGTAACGCCGTTACTAGTAACGCCGTTATTCCCATCACTGCCAACAGACCCTCCTGCCGACCCACATATTGAGAGAGGGATCTGCTCCACACGGACGGACTAATGATCCAGGACCTAAGCTACAGATCGAGGACCAATGCCACGCAGCAGCCGCAGAACGTGGACAGGTCAGGTGCAGGACTGAAGCGCTCCCAGGCGGGTCGGGTGGGGTAGTCCGCAGGTGCAGATGGAGGGGGACAGGGCAGTCTGCAGGTCCAGATGGAGGGGGACAGGGCAGTCTGCAGGTGTAGAAGGAGGGGGCAGGTTCAGAGGTCCCGTTGTCGTGCCGTGAAACAGACAATGGGACAACAGGTGAATAGCATTGAACACACTACAGTCAAAATCTTCATAATGCAGACAGATAGAGTAAGAAGGAGGAGAGGATGGGGCTCAAGTTACCACACTTCTCCCAGCAAACTAACTCCCTCTGCAGCTTGACTGGCAGTCTAGGGTGTTAAGCCTTCCCTGAGTCTTACTTTCCTAACCATATGCTGAACTTAGGAGGACTATTTTAGGCCTAGCCTTGAATATAGAGACCGTGGCCGAACAAAGGTGAGACAGCAGCAGCCACGGCTAGCCACACCAAAGATTCGTGGATTACAAACCAAGTGTGTAAACCAAACCAGACTAACAACCGAACCATATGCTAAATTGAAGTAGAGTGTTTTAAGGCTGGTCTTGAATGTGGAGACCATCAGAATCAGAATATTTTTTATTGCCACGTAAGTAACAGGAAGTCACAGACTTGGAAATTGATTTGGCTCAGTGCAACAGTCAGAAAGAGTTAATAAAAAATAAAGAATAAAAAACACTTTTTAAAATAGAGTTACAGTTACTATTTACAATATACAAGTGCACATGGTGCACACAATGTAAGGTGACAGCAGTACAGTGAAGTAAAGTGACGTATGATGGGCAGTAAAGTGACTTTATAAAGGGCGGGGGGACAGGTTAAGAAGTGTTCAAGAGTCCAACAGCAGAGGGGAAGAAACTGTTCTTGTGGCGGGAGGTTCTAGTCCTGATGGACAGTAGTCTCCTGCCTGAGGGGAGTGGTTGGAACAGTCCATGTGCAGGGTGAGAGGGGTCAACTGTGATACGACCAGCCCGGCCTCGAGCTCGGGCGACGTACAGGTCCTGCAGCGATGGAAGGCTGCGGCCGATCACTTCCTCTGCAGAGCGCTGTAGTCTCTGTTTGTCCCTGACTGTGGCTCCAGCGAACCACACGGTGATGGAGGAGGTGAGGATGGACTCGATGATGGCCGTGTAAAACTGCACCAACATCTGTGCAGGCAGCTTGGCTTTCCTGAGCTGCTGCAGGAAGTACATCCTCTGCTGGGCCTTCTTGATGAGGGAGCTGATGGTCGGCTCCCACTTGAGGTCCTGGGTTATTGTGGTGCCCAGGAAACGGAAGGACTCCACAGAGGTGATGGGGGAGTCCATCACGGAGGGTGGGCGCGGGGGGACAGTGCTCTTCCTGAAGTCCACAATCATCTCCACTGTCTTCTGGGCGTTCAGCTCCAGGTTGTTACCACTGCACCAGGACACCAGCCGGTCCACCTCCCTCCTGTAGGCGGACTCATCGTTGTTGGAGATGAGTCCAATGAGGGTGGTGTCGTCCGCGAACTTGATCAGCTTCAAGGAGTCGTGGCTGGAGGTGCAGTGGTTGGTGTACAGGGAGAAGAGCAGGGGAGAAAGAACACAGCCCTGTGGGGCTGCTGTATTTATAATCCGAGAGTCCGAGACATTCTTCCCCAGACGCACTCGCTGCTTCCTGTCTGCCAGGAAGTCAGTGATCCACCTGCAGGTGGAATCGGGCACGTTGAGCTGGGAGAGCTTGTCCTGGAGCATATCTGCTTCCTTAACATGGATGGGAAGCTGATTCCACAGAAAAGGAGCTTGGTAGCTAAATGCTCTGCCGCCGACAGTGCTTTTTGAGACCTTAGGAACCACCAGACGTCTGGCGTTTTGCAAGCAGTTTGGTTGATATGACACTAACGTGTCTTGAAGATAAGAAGGAGCCAAGCCATTTATGGCTTTGTATGTTAAAATAAGGATTTTAAACTTAATTCTGTACTCCACGGGAAGCCAGTGGAGTGATTTTAACTCCGGGGTTATATGCTCCCTCCTTTTGGTACCTGTTAAGATCCTTACTGCTGCATTTTGAACGAGCTGGAAGCTCTTCAAAGAGGTTTTAGGGCAGGCTGCCAGTAAAGCGTTACAGTAGTCAAGCCTTGAGGTGACAAAAGCTTGGATTAGTTCTTCCGCGTCACCTTTAGGAAGGATATTCCTGATTTTAGCAAAGTGGCAGGTGGCAGAAAAGCTGTTCAACTATAAGCTTTTCCAGGATTTTAGATATGAAAGTAAGGTTCGAGATCGGTCTGTAGTTTGTAAGTAGTTCCTGGGCCAGGTTTGTTTTCTTCAGAAGGGGTTTAATTACAGCGGTTTTAAACGTTTGTGGGACATAGCCACATTTTATGGATGCGTTTATTATATTTACGATAGGCTCAATTATCAAAGGAAGTATGTCTTTGAAGAGCCAAGCTGGGATTGAATCTATAATGCAAGTTGAGGCTTTAGAGGATGTGACTATGGAGATCACTTCTGCTTGGCTCACAGCCATGAACTTGTCGAGGCCCACTGAAGAGTCTAAGTGGGAAGTCAAGTATGCCGCTTCAGCCTGTCCATCACCAACAGTAGGAGTAACCTCCTCCAGAGGTTTCTAGATTTTGGCATAATTATTTTTCTGAAAGACGCTTGTTGGGGTTTTTCTTTTACATAACTGTGGTCCTCCATAATCCCTTCTTCAAACTTATCAGGGCCTGGTGGAAGCA